TTATTATTATTATTTTTAATAAAATGCTGAAGTGGTAGGTAGATACAAGATAAAGGTAGAAAACATAGTTTAGTGTTGTAAGAGAGCAAATGTAGATGATCAGGTGTGTGCCTGTAGACTATGTGTTAATCCAAGCTAGACAAGGGCAATAAAACATCCACTATGCAGAAGATTTCTCTCAGAACGGGGGTGGGGCGGGGGAGGTTCTAAGCCTCACCTCTGTTGATCCCCATTGAAAGGATGTTTTAACACCAATTATATTATTAAGGAGATTATCACAGAGTAAAAGTTCTTTATATGAATAAACTCAGCTTTTTGGAAAATTCAGTCTTATTATTATTATTATTTTGTCTTATTTGGGTGGAGGAGGGCCCTTGTCATCAGTCCAGAGTTTGAGAGCAACTATCCAGAGAACTAGATAGAAAGGACAGTGAAGCGGGAAGGATGACTTAGTGGAAAAGACTTAAGTACTGCTGTATTCCTGCGCTTCTTTGCTCACTGTCCTGATTGAGTCCTGTATCTTCCTTTGCCCCAGTTGCCCTCCTATAAATGAAGGGGCAAGAATGGATGATCTCTAAAGTTCTTTCCAGCTTTAAAATCTCATGACTCCATGATTGTACTTACTTGAAATCTGGGGCTTTCCCCTCTACTAAGTCACTTAGCTGACACTAGGGCACCCCCCTCAAGCTGAGTCATTCAGGCTGTGAACCTCACAGTCTTCTTTGCCCCCTTGCATCTCAATATTTTTCCATGTCCAGATTTTTTTAAAAATTCCTTTCTTCCTGTCTTTCATATTCATTCCTACTTACCATCACCTAGATACTAGTAAACATGAATCTCTGCTGTTACCTAACTAGTCTTTCCTCCTCCGGTGTTTCCCACCTCAAACACACTACCAACATAGTTTTTCCTGAGATGTCCATTTCACCTTGCTATTTTTCTGTTCACACTATCTATGATGGCTGTCTAATGCCCATGGAGTTAAGTCCCAACTCCTATCTTCAATTGCTCAAAGTAAAATTTTCATTCTAGCCTGATTAGGTTCCTTCTTTTAGTTTCCACCCAACACTGTACAAAATCCAATTTCTAGTCACCTGTGTTGATACAATGATAGTGCCTGAACTTCCTCCCTGTTAACTATACAGCTCTCATCCCTTGTTCTCCATGTGGGGCTTCTGTGGCACATACTATCTATTTTCAGCACTTTGATATGCACCTCATGCCACTGTTACCTGTTTCACAAAAGCACGTCAGCTTACAGATGTTCTCCGAACCCACGGAAGCATGTTCGCGTTGCCTTTGTGTTTTCCCCTCAGTATCTAGTGTACTGCTATCTATATTGTAGATGCTTGATGAATATTTCTCCCTTCAGAAACAAAATCTGTACTTCTCTCACTTTATCTTATCCCCATTTTTATTTTCAGTCATATGTTCTAACTCCTTTGAGAAACTTCTCTTGGTGCATTTTTCAGGGACATTTATCTAAAACTTCCGTTCATATAAAAGATGCCAAGAATCACAAGTTTCCTAGAATATGCTCTCCTCCCTAGTATACATTATTTGACAAAGGCTTATGGAACAAGGCTATCATCTGTGTGGATTACCCCCCAGAGAGGTGACAGGGATCCTGGGAATTTAAAGTGAAAAAGGAGGAGAGGGCAGTACTAGCTTTGGCCTACCTACTGTTTGAAAGAGAAGGGCGCCCTATAGCTCTCTCATCCTCGCTTCACACTCTGCCAGCCATTTCCCACAGGCTTAGACAAGGCATAACTCCTAGTGGCTTTTCCTAAGGCCATTATCAAGTTGGGGAAGATATAAGAACCATAAGAATAAAATAACGCCACGAGTAGAAGTACAAAACCTAGACGCTAGACCAGATAGTACAAGAGAAGTCATCAGAACATGCAATTTTCAGTTGATAAAGACAACAAATTCAACAACCAAATTGCTCTTCCCTTTGTTCAATGTCAGGCAAATAGCATCAATGTTCAAGTAGGTTTTGTTTCCCAGTTAGACCAGCCTGCACTTGTACCCCAGGGACCAAGGCAACAGAGAAGTCCCGACTAAAGTTTAAGTCATGTGCTAATTAAGGAAAGCATCACAGGCCAGAGACAAATGTAAGAAGGTGAGGGCTGATTTGCAGCTGTGAAATCATGGGACAATCGGAATTACCAGCTGGGACTGTGGTGGGAAATACCAGTCCTCTTTTATGATATGCTTCTAAGGAGTCACAAGGAGAAAGAGCCACTTTGAATCATCTGCTTGCCACAGTTTAGAATCCAACAGCTGTAATTATATTTCCCATGTAAGTTCACTTCAAGTATGAAGACTATGATATTTAACATAGAATTTATGGTAATCTAGCTATAGCCTGCCAAGGATAATGTTCAGAACCCCAAATCAACCTAGCAGTGTTATAGAAATAATCAAGGGAATTTGAACCAAGGCAGCTTGCAGTGTTGGTAAAAGTAGGAGACCCAGGTCTTGCTACTGTATACCACAGACTGGCTATAGGACATTGTTGAAATCATCTATCATGTCATGTCAACGTTTCACGGTTTGACTTATGAAAATTGTATTCATTAATATAGTTCCTAACACACAAAACATACGTCCATTGACCAAATAAAGGAACAAATAAATGATTCTATTCCCAAAAAGGCTTGGTTGAATGCCTCCAGGGAGCTGTATTTATATTTTAGGTAGCTGCCACTAGGGGGAACTAGTTTGTGCATGAGCAGATAAGCAGGTAGCCTCTCAGGTGGGGGTAGTAAAGATGTAATCTTAATCAATTGTCTATAAATACATATGTAACTTTGTTAGGGTAACAGCAATTCGGGGGATCATGTTTAATCTCTATGTAAAAATTTTATATTATCCAAAGAATTTTGGTATACGCTAGGTATCTGGGAGAAACCACTGTTAATTTACCCCATAAATGAGCTCCTTATTCAGTTTTCAGGCCTACTGTATTCTGTTCAGTCGCAGTGGTAGCAAAGTCCAAGGCCTACAGCTAAATGCCAAGCTAGTAAAGGAAGCATCCTTGCTGGAATCAGACAAGCACGATATTACTAAGTTGTTAGTACTATTAGTTTGCAGCTCTAGTCAACAGCTGTGGCCACCTGCAAATGGAGGGGACCTATGAAAGCCAGGGGAGCCGGTCCCCACAGAGGGCAGCAATTCAACTTCTCTCTTGAGGCAA